CCCCTCACCTCCCGCTCTCCCTTAATCAAGAGGCGCTCCAATAAAGTGTGTTCTGAGAAGGATCCTCGCATGGTGGTCATTCTTCCTCGCTGGCCGAGGAGCACGCCGCAGACACCTATATGGTCACAGATGGTAGCCCATACTCTGGGTGTCCGAAGGGCCCTGGATGGTAACAGAAGCCATGGACATCGACACAGACCACCACTGATGCATAAGGGCCATGGACCAAGACATGGCCCTTGCCAGCAGCCCAGACATCACCATGGCCACAGGTAACAAGCAGACCACCTACATCAACCCTCCTTCATCAGATCTGCCTCTCTCTCTCCCATTTCGCCACCCTGTACTTGCTAATCACAATGGTCCCCAACCATCTGGCGCCTGTGCTCCTGGTTTATTTCTGCCAGCCCAGGCCAAGTGGTCTGGGGCAGAGCTGTGGCTGTTCTCCTCAAGTATTGTCATTCTTGTTTTCTCTCCCTAGCTCATGTTCTTTCTAAGGAACTCAATGTTGAATTTCTAATTATAAAATAGATCTTGTATTTCATGTTCAAATCATGTGCAATAAACACATGTCAAACTTTAACAGAAAAAAATTACAGTGAAGTCACATGGACTATCAGTCAGGAGATTTTTTTTTTTATTTGATTCTGTCCATCTTACTGAGATGGCCCTGAGGTCTCTGAGAGTCTCCTTCTTCCCAGGTTTACTCAGCACTGAGATGTCAGTGATGACTCCTTTGTTATTCTATACTGAAGTGAGAATGACTGTGATTTGTCTGAGTGAGCTATGCTGAAATCCTTTACAGCCTTATCAGAAAGAAAAATACACAGTGAAATTTTAAAATAATGTACTAGTAAGTTGATGTAGGTAGGTCAATTATATATGCACAAGTAGGGACCCAGGATTGGCCAATGCAAAAGCAAGGTCATGTTATGTTTCAACTGTTTCCTTTTCTATTTGAGAATATCATACATGCATATACTATGTTTTCATCAAGTCTGCTCCTCATTCCCCTCCCTTTAATTCTCCCTCTATCCCTTCCACAACCAATTTTCTCTGCCAACTTCATGCTCTTTTTAAAAAAAAAAAAAAAAATCTCACTGAGTCCACTTAGTGATGCCTGTATTTACATGGGTGTAAGACCAGTTACTGGACTATAGGCGACCTCTGAGAGGCAGATCCCTGAAGAAAATGGATATGTTAACTTCTAATGTGTTATATTTTCAAGTTAAACAGAAGTCATAGAATCAAGATCACTTTTGTCATGAACGTGAATGTTATCTTTTTAGCATGTCATAAATAACCACGATTAGCAACAGAAGCACAGAAAAACTTCTGAAATTTTGGGGAGCGAAATGACAAAGGTGTGAGCTCTGAGCTCCGCAAATGTGTGTGTAAAGAACACGCAAATGCAGAGCAAAGCACACAGTCACTCGTTCCCATTTGAACCAGCACATTAAGTCGACTTTATCACTCATGTCAGTACAGTTTCATGTCACGAATAATGGTTCAAGGACTTAACACTTGAAGAAGAAGGAGTGTTTGAAGTCTAAGGCTAACTGATTACAATCTTTTGAGAGAATTCAAAAAGTGCTAAAGCAGCAGGGTGGTGAGTTTAAGGGTTGTTTAATTTCTGTTCCTTAATGACCAAATTCGAAGTAGAGTAGTCCTACATTAGTGCTGTACTAAGAAATCTGCCTGTCTTTTGGAGAAAAAGAAAGCAGTGAGAGAATGCAGGAGAAGTAAGAGATACGACTTTAAAAAGGGTAATTGTCACAGAATCGTCACATAAATAGATTCTGTTTTTTGAAACCATTATATGAAGTTATCTAGATCAATGTCAGAAGGATAATGACCAGGGAAAATGAAAACTACTAACTTCAGAACAGTAAAGTGAGATTAAAGTGATGTGTGGAACAGTCAGAACGTCCAGGAAGATCAGGAACACCATGACTCTGAGCCGGTCAGCTATTCCACCCAGAGCCTGAGAAATAGTGACAATAATACCAAAGCAGTGTGTAAGGAAGCACACAGGCTGAGCAAAAAACGTAACTGATGTAAAGAGCAGTGGAGGGAAAAGACAATGACAATTACCTCCAAGTTCTCACTCCTTTCTCTCAAAGACATTAAATATGGGCGTTTGAAGGTGGGATACTAAGGATGAAACAATGTGCATTTGCCTGGTCTGAAGGTGAGCGTGCTATGAACACCTCAGATTACAGCATCCAGACGTTAACATCTTGCTTTGCTGCAGGAAGGCAGGACACATGTGGAAAAGCACGTTATTGTCATCCCAGGGTGAAAATGCTAACCATGGAAGCCTGACAGCAAAGAGTTTGTTTCTTCAATGCTCAGAACCTACATGAAATCATAACATGGCAGCACATGTCTGGAATTCCAGCATTTATATGTGAGGAGAGAGGCAGAGACATGGAAGAATCATCTGGAAGCTTGAGAGGCAAATAGGCTGCGGTATATGGCACCATAGTAGAAAACAAGGGAAAGCCTGTCTTAAAATGAAGGAATCAATCCTCAAAGATGTTCTCTGATACCCCTACACACACACACACACACACTGGCATATATGCACACACACAACACACATACACTGTGGCATATAGGCACATACACACACACTGTGGCACATAGGCACGCACACACATACACTGTGGCATACATGCATGCACATGTACACAAGCATACACACATACACATATACACACATGCTGTAGCATATATGCATGCACACACATAAGAACACACAAGCACATATACACAGTAATTTTTTTAAAAAAACATATTTTTAGCCGGGCGGTGGTGGCGCACGCCTTTAATCCCAGCACTCGGGAGGCAGAGCCAGGCGGATCTCTGTGAGTTCGAGGCCAGCCTGGGCTACCAAGTGAGTCCCAGGAAAGGCGCAAAGCTACACAGAGAAACCCTGTCTCGAAAAACCAAAAAAAAAAAAAAACAAAAAAAAAAAAAACAAAAAAAACCATATTTTTAACAAAGGAATGAGAAGGCATGCTAACTTTGAAGACAAAAGTATTTCTTCCATAATAATAAATGCCCATTATCTAAAGAAAGATGACTGATAGTTTTGTCTATTAGTTTCCTAGTTGGCTTTCTATTGCTGTGATAAATCACCATGACCAAAAGCAACTTGGGGAAGTATTTCTTTCATCTTACACTTTCAGGTACTATTCTGTCCTGATAACGTCAAGACAGTTACCCAAGCATGGTAGGAACCTAGAGTCAAGAGCTGAAGCAGGAACTGTGGAGGAGCATGCGTACTGGCTTTTTCTTCATCTTGCTCAGCCTGCTCTCTTACACAACCAGGAATACTTGCCCTCAGGTGGCACCACACACAGGGCCCTCCTACATCAATCATCAATCAAGAAAATGCCCTACTATTTAAGGCTTACTCCATGAGATGGAACCCAAACCTGGCAATGCTCAGGTGGCCATAAACCTGGGACTAGATAGGCCATGGCCTAGAAACTATTGCTCTGCTAAAGATGTGCAGCCATATAATGACACTCTGCTATAGTCATAGATCAGTGTCTTGCTTAGCCATCATTAGAGTAGCTTCCACCTGCAGTAGAAGGGAATAAATACAGAGACCCACACCCAGAAAATATTCTGAGGGTGACAAACCTTGAAACACCCAGTCCTAAATGGTACATCTTCATCAAAACCCTCCCCTCAGGCCTGAGGAAAAAAGACTGTAAGAGCCAGTGGCGATGGAAGATACCAAGGAAGCAATGCCTTCCTGACACTACCGGACTGACACACAGATGAACTCAGAGACAGTGGCAGCATGCACAGGCTCTGCATGCTTCCAGGACAGATGGGGACACAGTGCTAACAGGGCAGTTGTGACTCCATCCCTAAGCCGGAAGTTATCTGCAATTGGCAACTGCTTGCAAAGGAAAACTTAGTGTTCTCCAATGGAGTTTCTCCCGGTATACAAACCACACTCAACTCAAAACATGGCCAACTCGTAACACACTCAATAGTATTTGGGGAGATATTTTGTCTTGTTATAGTTTGTCTGAGCATTATCTTTCACCCTACAGATATTTCGCTTATATATTATGGTTTCTGATTTTGTGTTTTTATGGGTTTCCTGTGTGTGCACACATGTGCATTTGTGTGTGTGTGTACGTATGTGTGTGTGTGTGTAAGAGTATGTCTCAGTGTGTACATGTGCTTCTCATGCTCTTTCCTTGTTCTTGTTTTCCTTTTCTCTGTTTTGTTCTGTTATGGTTTGTTTGTTTTTGCCTGTTTGTTTTCTAAAGAGAGAAAGAAGGCATGGAGTTGTGAGGGTGGGGAGGTGGGGAGGCTCTGGGAGGGGTTGGGGTGGGGAAACTGTGACTTAGAATATATTGCACAAAAATCTATTTTAAATTAAAAAGAAAGAAAGAAAAAGCCCTACAAACTTGCCTACAGGTAGAATTTTCTCAACCAAGGGTCCCTCTCCCCAAATGCCTCTAGTTTATGCCAAGTCAGGATAATTAGTTTATAGAATACATGGACCAAAGTATGACAAAATATTTGTCATATCTTACTAATACCTTATATGTTAAACAGCAAAACATAATGCATGCTTAATACAAATCGAAGAGTTATGACAGGAAATTTCCTTAAAATCAGAAAAGAGAACATACATTTGATAATTTTCCCTTCGCCTCTCTCCACCTTATCCCAAGTACATCACATTTGACAGGAGATAAGTGGTTCATGGTTCTGAATAGAAACCCTTAGAATAAAAAGATGCATGGAAACTTATACAAAAGAGTCAGAAAAACTGGAATCTATCAAACTTTGAAAACACATACAAAGACAACGTAAGCACTAATAAAGCACTTATCGTCTCAATGGTAAGTTCCTCATACCTGGAATGTTGTATAAAGAGTCCCAGAGCTGTTCTTCTTCCATGTAGCTCAGGAAAACATTCCCAAATGTTTGTGGAGACAAGTGACAGTGGTACAGGACTTGAAAGACGGCTTCCACCACACTGCAGCCTCCCTGCTGGTCCTTTTCTGTGCCAGGAGCTTGTTCTGGAAAAGAGTGAAAATGTGGGGAATCAGTGGCTGTGACCACATTCTCATTGCTTCCTCCAGCACTGTCCTAGGGCACACACCTTCTACTGTTTTCACTTCAGAAACTCCACCGTCTCTGAGGGCTACCGTCATTCAACTTCACAGTTTTCGGTGTATCTGTGGGTAGCTACTGAAAGACATCTGTGAGAAGGACCATGATGGCATCATTTCAAGAGGTGAGGCCAATTGTCCTGTATGTCATAATTATTTTTTCCCTTAAGGAAATATTTTTGTCTATATTTCTCATTTAAAAATTATGCACATTCAAGACATATTTTAAAAATCTAGATAACTTAGAAAACTAAAAGTGTACCATAAAAAATTCACTTGTTCTTTGAATTATGTAATTAATTGTGAAAAACAAATTGTGTTTCCTAAATATATTGACACTATCATTTCAGAATGAAACAACTTTTCAATTAGTTCCTCGATTAAACTTTATGAGTTATTTTAATTGACCTTATCACCCTTCCTCTGCCTCCATTATGGCTTCCTTTAAAGATCACTAATCAGAGGACCAGGCATCACTGAATTAATATGGTACATGGACCTGAGAAATAATTCTTATTTTTCTTATATAATATACAGCTGAGTCACAATAAACAAAAATATGTATTGATTTAAAGATAGTATCAACTCATGTCTCCTAATATTTTTAATATCTTCAATTAATATAATCTAAGGTTATTGGAAAAGAGTATATTTCCTTACACTCATTCATCTGTAGGCTTACCACTTTTATTTTATAATTTTATTTCTTGGTTTGCATTTAAGAGTCCACTCTTATCTGGAAATTAAAAAGCAATGTCATAGATTTTATGCAGATAGCACATGCTAGTTTTTCTTCATAATACCACTTTCAACCAAATTAATTTTTGTTTAACTAGTCACTGCTGTCCATATCCACCTTCTTTGTCTTCTACTCAAAGGACACAGTTTGTTTGTTTGAGGGAAGCAGACTCTAGTCACCTGGGGTGGGCATGCAGCCAAGGCCTGGCCAATCAGGCCTGACACCACTCATCAACTCTGATCAGTTCATAGATGGGCAGGTAACCAACAGGAACCTTCCTAAAGAATTTTGCTGTAATAATTGTGAGTGGTGTTCTTTTGACCGCATTTGAAATGCTGGCAGAGTAGGCTGGAAGTTGCTTTGGGTGTCCATTTGGGGAAAATATGTTACTAAAAATTAATCTGCTGCAGTAAAAATCAGAAATAAGACTGCTTTTTTTCCCCTGAAATTATTTCCCAATTCTCAAGCATCTGTTCAACCCAAAAGGATTCATTTTCTGTTGTTGTCCTGTAAAGGACTGTAACATGCTATCTTCAGGGCACGGCAAAGTCATTAAATAATGATCTCACATCAGCTACTGCCACCTCCATGGGGCCTGTATAAGACTGGGCTTGTCAACCATCAGTCATTGCCAGGAGGGTTACCCAGGGCCATCCCTCTCCCTACTGCACTATTGGCTACTGATAGATTCTGGGGTAGAGGAAGTCATTGCTTTCAGTTGTGAACCCAGTGATGAGCCTACAGGCTCATGAACAGACCTAAATCCATGGTCACACAGGAGGCCGGGTGGGTCACAAAACATAAAGACACAGACGCAGGAAAAGAACTTGTAGAGGGGAGGAGGGATTGCCGGGTAAGACAGGGTAGGGATGAGGGCAATCAGAATGCACTTTCTACATTTCTACATGCACAGAGCTATCAAAGAACAAATTTAATAAAAGTTACATCATTTAAAAATACGTTCTCATATATGTATATATACATATGCATGTGTATATACACACACTTATATTTAATATATGCATGTATATGTTATGTATATAGCAAAAGACGGAGGGAGAGAGGTTGTGTAGCAGCTGTAATAACGAGGGCTGTTATCTTCTGCATTTTAACCATTTGTGGATTTCCAAAGTTCTACAGTTGCTTCTGCTGTGTGTGTGTGTGTGTGTGTGTGTGTGTGTGTGTGTGTGTGTGTGTGTACCACATAGGGTGGTAATACTCCTCCCCAAAGCATAGATTACCTAACAAAATTCCCATTACTCAATACCACACAAGGAAAACCCCTTTCTATGGTTACCTTTATACCATAGGTGACTGGAGTTCTCACCCTCATCAAAGCTTTTCCCCAGCAGTTCAAGGATAGACACTATGCAGATTCATAAGTAGTCACAGGACACAGGACACCCACAGGTGACGGGTGTCCAGCCCCAGTTAGCACATCTAGAATACAATGTTTACATCCAAGGCTCAGGAAAATCACAGACAAGAGGGTCAGAGGGCTGTGGGAGCCAGAGGACCAGCAGTCACACTGGGAGAGAGCGTCTTCTAGTCCTGACAGGCAAGGTGCACCCATGAAATCTCAACAACAAGGTAAGGAGACCTGCATTGCTGTCACACTGTCACATGCCAACGTGGATGGGAAAACGTCACAAGCCCCCACCCCTACATGACAAGTTACAGGCAATCACTGACTTTGAGAAAGAGAATCAGTTTTTCCCAAGATAAGCTAGCTCCCTGATAAATTATCCAATCTCAAGTGGTCAACTCTTGCACATATGAGTAACACTACATGGACTGAGTAACTTTTACACACACACACACGTGTTGTGTGATATTTTGTTTGTGTTCTGACTAATTAAGCTTGCCTGGAGATCAGAGGGCAGAGCAGCCACTGGTTAACCACAGAAGTTGAGCAGCTGTGGCTCACGCCTTTAATCCCAGCACTCTGGAGGTGGAGAGAAGAACTGGTAAGTCGGGGCGGAGACAGAATCTCAGCCCTTTTGGTCAGAGGATCTGGAAAGGTAAGGTGTCACTGGTAGCTGCTCCCATGCTTTGAGATCTTTTTCTAAGATCTGATCTTTCAGGTTATTAACCCGATATCTGACTCTTGATTTATATTGATAAGACTAATTAGGTTCACTCTTCACACACACACATTTGTATAATGTGTGTATATATTTAAAGAAAACAAGGTCTTGAATTTGAGAAGCAGTTGCAGGGCACTGGAAGAAAAGGAGGAGTGCCAAGTGATGTAAATACAGTATTCATGTGTAAAATTCTCAAAAATTAATATTCTTACAATATTTCAGTCACTGGTGCATATTTGAGAGGCTTTAGCTTCTTGGTACCCATGTCAAACGTGCCTGTTTGTTGGGTGATAGGCACACGTGAAATCATGCCAGCAGTGTAAGGGTTTGTGACTGTCATTCCCGCTTGTGTCTGCTCTCCTTACATAAATGACAGCAACACCCTCTTTCATTCTTTAGATTTTTTGCTTTACTTGACGTGAATGTTCGTTTTGCCTGTATGAATATCTGTGCACCATTTGCAAGCCTGTGCCTGCTGAGGCCAGAAGAGGACATGGATCCCCTAGAACTGGAGCTAAAGATGGCATGAGTTTCCATGTGAGTGATGGGAAGTTTCTCTCCCCGTCCAATAAGGCCAGGCAGGAGAGGTACCAGTCTGGATGTGTTTAGGGCGTGTCTTGGGAACCTAGTAAAGACCATGGCCTTTGCCAGCGCCCAGTCACAGTGCTTTCCTTTCCTTTGATTTCCCCTCATACCCTTGAGGTATTCCTGTGTGGTCTCTCATGCTGATATTCCCCTGGTCCTTTCAGGAAAACTCACCTTGGATTCACTTTTTTAAAACCTGCTTTTTTGGAGGGTAAGGGACCCATGCTATTTTTATGGCATTTGACGGTAGAGGGAAACAGGCTAACATTTGACAAAGTAGAATTGAGCATAATTAAATTGTTTTGGCATTTTTTGTTGTTGTTGTTTTATTGTTCATTTGTTTGAAATTCACCTACTTGTAAAGTTAGTCTTGAGGTTCAGGACACAGTACTCACAAACATGGCAACTTGGCATTTGGGAAAACAGGAGTCATCTCCACATCTCTGAGCTTCTCTCCTGAAGCAAGGAACAGAAGAATTCTGATTTCCTCTACAGCAGGTCAAGAGGCCAGCACTGCAGAGGTCCCTCTCTGTACCAGAAGGAAAGGAAAGCCCTCACTTAGGAAGATACTGGCACACAGGGAGATCTAAACAAGCATTACTAAGTTACTGACGTTAGTTCCTACTAGATCACATTCTTTTCCTTCAGTCATACTCTGAACAACTGTGTGCACATGGAAATATTCATGCTGGGCAGCAGGAATAGCTCAGTGGTTAAGACTACTTACTGTTCTTGCACAGAGTATGGCAGTTCACAGCCACCTGTAATTCTAGTTTAATGGATCTGACTTTCTCTTTAGGCCTCTATATGCAAGTGGTGCACATGAACTCATGCAGGCTGACATAAAGGAATAAAATTTCTAAAAAAATCAGAAATGCACAGGCCACCCTGTTTCCATTGATCTTCTTTACTGAAGGCCACTGCAGCAACATTTATAGTAGACAAATGTGTACGTTCGAGTTGGCTGATCTTTTCTTATAGGTGCCTCAGCCATAAATCTTACAGTGGAGAAAGGGAGACATTATGTCTCCTTCCTGTAGTTCTTCCTTCACTTCCAAATGCAGGTCTCGTCCTTTATATTTTCCCCTTTTTCTTTCTTCTGCCTCTAGGTTTTATATTATATTTATAATATTTATATAATTACATATTGTCTTATCCAATATACAATTCTTTATGTCTGTTTTCATGATGCCTTCAATGGTGAAGAAATAGAAATTGATGAGGTCTAAATTCAGGAGACAGAGCTAGGAGGATGGATGAAGAGATAAACCAGCCAGGTCTACAGACCAATATCCTTGTCAAAAAATGAAAGAAAACAAAAGAAATCAAATAATCAGTGAGCTCTATATATCCGAGAGCTCTATACACCTAAAGCATCATTGTGCAAACAGACGTCATGACTTTGTCATTTGCAATCAATAACTTTACTCAAGAGAAATCCTCCACTGTGACATCATCTTCTGTGTCTGTGTCTACCATTGTATTTCACAGTCAAC